TCATTAATTATTCCATATTTGCTTCTATGTGTACATATACATTTGAGTGTCTATACTTTTTTAATATATTGTAAAGTATCTATCCTTTTTATAAAAGTGTTTATACTTTTTTCACTGTGGAAAACATTAATTTAAGGTTATCTTTTGAGTGAGTTTTAAGATATTAATTTAGTAATTATAGGCATCTAATGATTTATTTTTTACGTTACGATATATATTATTATTAAATTAAAAATTCTTAATATTATTTTATAAAATATCAAAACAATCAAATCATTTTTTGTGCAAATGAAATTATTAAATTAATATTGTAGGTGGAAAACATGAAACATACTTAAAAAAAATTGAAACATAAATTACATATCTTTAAAAAAAGTATCGATCCTTTTTATAAAAAGTATGGACACTTTCAACATATTATAATAAAATAGGTAAATTTGCAATGCTATCGGTATAAATATACCGGTTTTATGTGCGAATAGGTCTACAACCTATATCGACACTTTTTAATATTGTGTCGGTACTTTATGTCCAGATTGGAAGAAAAATGTGTCGATACATTGTCAAAAAGTGTCGACATTTACACATCGGAACCCATAATTATAATGTAATAGATAATTTTGTAATATAATCGGTATAAATATACCGGTTTTATGCGCGAATAGGTCTACAACCTATATCGACACTTTTTAATATTGTGTCGGTACTTTATGTCCAGATTGGAAGAAAAATGTGTCGATACGATTTAAAAAAGTGTCGACATTTACACATCGGAACACATATTTATAATGTAATAGATAATTTTGTAATATAACCGGTATAAATATACCGGTTTTATGAGCGAATAGGTTTACAACCTATATCGACACTTTCTAATATTGTGTCGGTACTTTATGTCCAGATTGGAAGAAAAATGTGTCGATACCATTTAAAAAAGTGTCGGTAATTTTAAGTAACGCGATTTTTCTTCCTTCATTCAAAATATTTATATGTACATACAATAGGAGTCATGTTGATACTTACGATATATTATATGGAGATTGTTGTCATTCCATTCCGTCTTCGAAAAAATCAGTTGATGTAGGCTGTGTGCTTGTACTCAAACTGAGCTTGACTTGAGGACATGTTAGTTTGTTATGTCCCTCACCGTTGCAGTACCCACATCGCCTAATTTTCTTCTCGACCTTGTTCTTCGGCACTTCTTTTCGCTTGCGTTGTTTTCGTTGAGGGTCACGAACATTGTTTACTACAATGCTCTGGGTTACTGAATGATTCAAACCAAACGAGTTTTCTAATTCTTCTATTAGTTTTTTCATCTCATCTCTTGCGGTTTTGAAAGACTCGTCTGTCTTTGATGCAATGTAGCATAACCTACTTGACGTTGAACGTAGAGCAGCGAACCTTGCCATTTGCATCACTTCTGGAGATATATTCAAATCAACATAGCTGGGTGCAGAAGCCTTCGCATCATTAGTAGGTTTGTTAACTACATATTTATGTATATACATCTTTTGAGTGAGTTTTAAGATATTAATTTAGTAATTATAGGCGTCTAATGATTTATTTTTTACGTTACGATATATATTATTATTAAATTAAAAATAATAAACATATATATTACATATTTATTATTATCTTTGGTTAATGTTGTTAAATTTAAATTCTAAATATTATTTTATAAAATATCAAAACAATCAAATAATTTTTTGTGTAAATGAAATTATTAAATTAATATTGTAGGTGGAAAACATGAAACACTGTTAAAAAAATTGAAACATAAATTACATAACTTTTAAAAAAAGTATCGATCATTTTTATAAAAAGTATGGACACTTTCAATATAATAGGTAAAAATATGATGTAATAGGTAGCGCTTATATAATGTAATAGGTATCATTTATATAATGTAATAGGTAGTGGTTATATTGTAAAGTATTTATCCTTTTTATAAAAGTGTCCATACTTTTTTCACTGTGGAAAACATTAATTTAAGGTTATCTTTTGAGTGAGTTTTAAGATATTAATTTAGTAATTATAGGCGTCTAATGATTTATTTTTTACGTTACGATATATATTATTATTAAATTAAAAATTCTAAATATTATTTTATAAAATATCAAAACAATCAAATAATTTTTTGTGCAAATGAAATTATTAAATCAAATAATTCAAATTGAAAATTAAACAACAAATCAATTAAACATTGTTGTGGGTACATTATTTGAACATTGTTATGGGTACATTATTTGGAAAAATAATGTTTCGGACTTTGTTAGAAATAACTTTTTTTCCATTGGATTAATTTCGTTTTTGTGGGTACATTATTTGAACATTGTTATATATAAATTTGTTGTGTATGTATGTTTTGGTTTGATTATATTGTATGTATATTTTCATTCAGTTGAAATGGGTTATGTATAACAAAACAATCTATCTCTTCCATGTGAGTACTTTATTCCAACCATGTGACAAGTGTGACAACTCCATCAACTCACAACTCAGCTTTGAACTCAATCAATATTGTCTTTTAGCTTGATGGTTCATAACGCATGTTACTTGAACAGTATGAATCAATTATGCAATTTTCATGTTCAATTTAACACTGCATTTCAAATTCATTTCATATGTAATTGGAGTTTGAATTTAAATTTCAATTTGAGTTTGAATTTCAATATATATTTCGGCTCCACTATAAATATTAGCCCAAGCCAATATGCATGTTATCATTGATTATTCCTAATTCCCATTGTTTTTTTCCAACGTTTAAACGCGAGGGAAATCCCGACCATTGTATTTTTTGGTCAACTTTAAAGCGTCAGAAACGTTTCGGGCGTATGATCTGGGTGGTAAACAAATAGCAACTAAAATCATAAGTCCGAAATGCTTCTGAGTACCACCCAAATCATAAGTCCGAAATACTTCCGATGCTCATCAAAATCCAAAGCTCATATGGTGCCAAGCAAAAGGAAATCAAAATCCAAATCTCATATGATGCCAAGCAAAAGGAAATCAAAATCTACAACTTGAGTTTGAATATTGATATGATATGTTCAGTTGTTATCATGTTGGGATTTTCTCGTTTTTGATTGCTTGGATAGTTGTTCTCTTGCTTCTTCAAGTGTCCTTAGCTTGTAATTTATAGCTTGAATGTGTTTGATGTTGTATATATTATTATTAAATTAAAAACAATAAACATATATATTACATATTTATTATTATCTTTGGTTAATGTTGTTAAATTTAAATTCTAAATAATATTTTATAAAATATCAAAACAATCAAATAATTTTTTGTGCAAATGAAATTATTAAATTAATATTGTAGGTGGAAAACATGAAACACTGTTAAAAAAATTGAAACATAAATTACATAACTTTAAAAGAAGTATCGATCCTTTTTATAAAAAGTATGGACACTTTCAATATAATAGGTAAAAATATGATGTAATAGGTAGCGCTTATATAATGTAATATGTATTGTTTATATAATGTAATAGGTAGTGGTTATATTGTAAAGTATCTATCCTTTTTATAAAAGTGTCCATACTTTTTTCACTGTGAAAAACATTAATTTAAGGTTATCCTTTGAGTGAGTTTTAAGATATTATTAATTTAGTAATTATAGGCGTCTAATGATTTATTTTTTAAGTTACGATATATATTATTATTAAATTAAAAATTCTAAATAATATTTTATAAAATATCAAAACAATCAAATAATTTTTTGTGCAAATGAAATTATTAAATTAATATTGTAGGTGGAAAACATGAAACACTATTAAAAAAATTGAAACATAAATTACATAACTTTAAAAGAAGTATCGATCCTTTTTATAAAAAGTATGGACACTTTCAATATAATAGGTAAAAATATGATGTAATAGGTAGCGCTTATATACTGTAATAGGTAGCGTTTATATAATGTAATAGGTAGTGCTTATATTGTAAAGTATCTATCCTTTTTATAAAAGTGTCCATACTTTTTTCACTGTGGAAAACATTAATTTAAGGTTATCTTTTGAGTGAGTTTTAAGATATTAATTTAGTAATTATAGGCGTCTAATGATTTATTTTTTACGTTACGATATATATTATTATTAAATTAAAAATTCTAAATAATTTTTTATAAAATATCAAAACAATCAAATAATTTTTTGTGCAAATGAAATTATTAAATTAATATTGTAGGTGGAAAACATGAAACACTATTAAAAAAATTGAAACATAAATTACATAACTTTAAAAGAAGTATCGATCCTTTTTATAAAAAGTATGGACACTTTCAATATAATAGGTAAAAATATGATGTAATAGGTAGCGCTTATATAATGTAATAGGTAGCGTTTATATAATGTAATATGTAGTGCTTATATTGTAAAGTATCTATCCTTTTTATAAAAGTGTCCATACTTTTTTCACTGTGGAAAACATTAATTTAAGGTTATCTTTTGAGTAAGTTTTAAGATATTAATTTAGTAATTATAGGCGTCTAATGATTTATTTTTTACGTTACGATATATATTACTATTAAATTAAAAATTCTAAATATTATTTTATAAAATATCAAAACAATCAAATAATTTTTTGTGCAAATGAAATTATTAAATTAATATTATAGGTGGAAAACATGAAACACTATTAAAAAAAAATTGAAACATAAATTACATAACTTTAAAAGAAGTATCGATCCTTTTTATAAAAAGTATGGACACTTTCAATATAATATAATGTAATAGGTAAATTTGCAATGCTATCGGTATAAATATACTGGTTTACTTATAAAATAGGTAAATATAAGCGCTACCTTTTATATTATATAAGCGCTACCTAGTATGTTATTATACTTTATAATATTTCTGGTTAAATAATATAACATAACTGATCTAAATTTTAACTAGCCACTTATTTAACCGGTCACACCATATATTAATCGGGGTACCGAAGAACTACCCGTGAGAGAGAGGGCGAGAAAGTCATAGAAATGGAATAAAGAAAAAAGAAATTCCAAAAAATGATGATAGGACTGTTATAGCGTATGGATGCCGCAATTGTATGCCACCAATAAAGCAGTTCTTAAGCTACACTACCTTCCTCAATCCTCTTCATCACCATCACCATCACCATCTTCAACCACGTCCTCTCTCCTTTAACAACCTCAAGCTCCCTAACTTCAACCTTCTCCTTACGGTAACTGTCTCTTCTTCAGGATGGAGGTACCCTTTTCTTTTCCTTAAACACTTGTTTTATGTTTTCTTTCTGGGTTTCTTTTCTTCTCTTTGAACATGTTTGTTTCTTTACTTCATCTTTTGTTTTGGGTTTTCCGGAAATGATCAACTTGTTGTTTTAGTAAAAAAAAATTGGTGAAGCGCTATCATCAATGAATTACAAAGAATACCTGTTTGTGTTGTGTGGGGTACTCATAATCTGGGGATTGAATCAACATATTGTGCAATTTGATCTTTGTTGTGCTGGTCTTTTAAGAAGGTTAGGATTTCAAAGAGTGATTGATGCAGGATTTTACCTTAACTGGTGAATTTAAGAGGTTATATTAGAAATTTAGTTAGCAAAACTATAGATTCCAAGATAAAATATTAGATCGTCACTAGAAAATATAAAGAAAATACTTAAAATGATGTCTATGGACTTTGGATAGATGAACTCAGCCTGCGACTGCCCCCTGATATGGAGGCGTCTGAATCAAAATGATGTCAAATCAGGTGATTTATTGGTCAACTTCTATGTCAGAGGCTGTATAACTTCTATGTCGACTCGGAACAAGGCTGCTTAGTTTTTATTTTCCACTTACCTTGAGAATTTGAGAGACCCTTGTGTTGTTTTGTTCAATTCAATAGTGATTTTGTGCTTGATTTTCTGTTGGATTATTTGTAGCGCTTTTGGAGTGGAAGTGGGATCAACAAGAACAAACAAATGGTCGAGCATTTGCAGCATTATGGAGTGATTTAATCGATGAAGGTTGCTGAAGTGATGGAGACTATCGATAGGGGGTTATTTGTACCAGATGGGACATCGGCTTATGTTGATAGTCCGATGCCAATAGGTTTACAATGCCACCATTTCCGCACCACATGTGCATGCTACCTGCCTTCAATTATTGGAGGAAAATTTGCAGCCCGGTATGCACGCTTTAGATGTCGGCTCAGGTCTCTTTGCGTTCCACAAATTTTTTGATACGATTATGTCTTTACCGTACAACTTCAGTTTCTTTCTTCTGTATACTCGGATAGAATGCTGGAATGCCAAACGTGCTACACTTACTGTCTCAGGGTAAATCCCACCTGTCAAGTGTCAATGGCCATCAAGAAAAGGGTCGGATTACGAGACTCGATGGCTGCATCTAGTTCCAGCATTCCAGAAGAGTTTAGTAAATCCATCAGCAGTCCATTCTTTTTTTTCCCCTAATTTTTGAAAGACAGGTTTTTATTTTGGTCTTGCATCTGTACTGTAGGAACTGGATACTTGACTGCTTGCTTTGCAATAATGGTTGTACCACGGGGTCGCGCTGTCGGTGTTGAACATATTCCCGAATTGGTTGCTTCTTCCATACAAAATATTGAAAAAAGTGCGGCAGCTCCATTGTTGAAAGAATGTTCTCTTTCACTGCATTTCGGCGGTATGTACTCAAGAACTTGCTATATGCTTTCGGTTTTATTACAATAGAATGTAGGATTAAGAAGACAACCAAATTTTCAGTTGTCTCGGAATTGAAATGAGCTTGCTGTCAGTTTTGTTGAATGCTTATGACTGATGCTTTGGCCTTGTACATTTTATCATAGACGGAAGACAAGGTTGGCCAGAATGTGCACCATATGATGCCATACATGTTGGAGCAGCAGCACCGGAAATACCTCAGCCTCTCCTTGATCAATTAAAGCCAGGTGGTCGAATGGTTATTCCTGTAGGAAACATGTTCCAAGACTTGAAAGTAGTGGATAAAGCTTTGGATGGTTCGATTAGCATCCGAAGTGAGACGTCAGTCCGGCATGTTCCCTTAACCAGTCGTGATGCTCAGTTGAGGGGTTATTGAGATCGGAAACGTTCATCTCTTATGCAGCAGCTTGTTTGAAAGTCTTTCAATACTGAACACCTTATTGTACGGAATATAATGATCAAACATTGCATTTACCAGACTTGCAGATCTTGTGTAAATGTTCTCTTTTCATATGTTTTCGAGTTCAAATTTAACAAATTTCACGCATGCTACACCTAAAAGACTAGATAATTTTGAAATTGAACGGTTCAATGACAAATTATAACAAATCAATAGCATAATTGATTGAAATGTAATTATTTGAATTTTGGTGATCAAAATTAAACAAAATCAAAACAGAAATAGTTTCCTCTTTTTTTTTCTAAGCATGTTTCCAAAGAGACGGGCTGTAAGCAAAAGGGATGAACAGGTTTTCGTTTCTTACGGGCAAACGTTGCATGAATAGACTCATCCAGATTGTGCAAAAACTAAAACTAAAATCATCCGAACATCAAAAGAAGCCTAGCCTTGGTCTTTCCTCTGCTACGTTCACTCTTATGGCTCTTCCATCCAGACTCTGCAATAATGATACGAGACGGGTTTATGTTACGCTACTCGAGTTTGGGTGTAAATCTCAGATAGAGTTATGTATTTGGTATTCAAGTTGTGGATGAAACACCGATAATACCTGTCCGTCGAGAGCAGTGATGGCATCATTCAATTCGGTCTCTGAGGACATAGTGACAAAACCAAAACCACGTGATCGGCCACTCTCCCTATCATACACCACACGAGCCTCGACTACCTTACCATGTTCACTGAATACCTGCTCCAGTCGAGCATTATCGACATCCCATGGAAGGTTACCCACATAGAGTCTAAAAGCAGTTTCAAAAACACGAGGGGGTCGGTCTAAACGTGATCCTCTCGGAGCAGCCTTATTAACAGTCAAGAGCCTTCCATTAAGATCCTGTTTAAAAACACAAGAGCAACAATCACTAAGTACAAGCACCAAATATCGCTTCATAGTTAGCATTATTCGACAAATCATAGAAAATCAGAAAGAACACTTGGAGATCGATATATACCGAGTCTCTCAGTACTTTCTGGACAAGCCTAACTCGGTTTATGTAGTGAAGCCTAACTCAACCCGAATTTAACTTTGCTCTTGCAAGCCACTAGAATTGGCTACCAAATCAAACTAGTAAATGCAAAATTTTCACAACTTGCAAACTCTTTGGTACACAACAACAGATGGATCTATACAAAAAAAAAGTAAAACCGACAACGAACAAGTTTTCTTCAAATTGTTGTCGATAAAACGGTCTTACTGCCATTCCACATCTGCAACCATCCCATCCCATCCCATCACACTTTTAATGTCTAGTAAACTTGACATCAAGGAATTACAGGAAAGAGACAACGAAAACTTCAAGAAATATATTGATTAGCAACCTAATTAAAATTCACCAGAAGGTAAAAGCTGACTAAAATAAGCTTCCAGTCCCTGTAATTAGACAAAGTTTGAGATTTAGTCCTATATGCTTAAAAGGTTGAAAATTAAGTCCTCTTGCTTCTTCGATTTAAATCCTAATCAAACCATTAACATTGTCAATATCATCTTTCAAAATTTGCCAATGTGAGATACGATTGACAGAAATAAGCATGCCAACTTGACATCTCGAACTTAACTGAAATACTACGACTCGCAGCATAAAGCAAATAAATCTGCCACTAGCATAGTTTATAAGGATTAAACACAACCATGTCAAATACATAATAGTATTCGTCATTTAAATCAAAATTCAAGTAACATAAGCTATTCAAAATTTCGAATTATGGGTTATGCTTACTCCCAAAGAGAATTCATCTTGCATGGATACAAGATTCAGTGTTTATTATCACATATATCAGTTCATCGATAGGAATAAGACAACTTACATAACGATTAAATAGCTCAACAGCCTTCTCAGCTTCCTCAATTGAACTCATAGATACGAACCCAAAGCCACGGCTTTGCTCAGTGTCTCTATTGTAAATAACCTGCAATCAAAAGGAAAAAAATCATCAACAACAGTTTAAAAGAAGAATTTCAAACAGTTTAAAATCAGGAAAATGAAATTTCTCTTAGACCTCAGCAATTTCCACTGTTCCAGCTTTCTCAAAAAGCATAGCTAAACTCTGACTATCAACATCAAAAGGCAAATTCCCAACAAACAATTTAGCATCCTCAGGAGGTTCAGAAACCTCTTCTTCTGAATCACCACTTTGTTCTTCAAAAACAGCATCCTCAACTTCAGCTCCCCAGCTTGCCTCAGGCTCATCGTTTTCCCATTTCGATTCCCCTTCTTCACCAATGGCAATGGTGGGGTCATTTTCTTCCCCTTGCTGGGCCCAATCTGATGTCTGGGAGAAAAAAGGGACCACAGATGGGAAATGAGTTTTAGATTTGAGGGTCAAAGAGGATGAATAATGGGAGGATGAGAGGAAAAAATTGATGGGTTTTGGGGGAAAGGAGAGGAGAGTTGAGGATTTGGAGCGAGAAGTGAAGAGTGAAGGGAGAGAAACGAGGAAACAAGAGTCTGCCATGGAAATGGATCTTGTTAAAGAAGACATTTTGACTGAAGAATCGAAGAGAGTAGAGAGAATTGAAAGGATAAGTGATGCAGGCGGGAGAGACGACGAGAGGGTTTATCGAAAACTAAACGAAAAGGTGTGATTTATCTGTATGGATGGCTCTCACTGTTGTGGGTTTCTTTGATGGTTTTAATGGGCTTCTTGATGTTTCAGTTCAACACTATGATTTAAGATTGAAAATGTCATATTAATAGAAATTAGAAAATAGGGTTTAGGGTTTAAGATTAAAAATGTCATATTAATAGAAATTAGAAAATAGGGTTTAGGGTTTAAGATTAAAAAGGTTATATTAATAGAAATTAGAAAATAACCGAGTGTCTATTTTGTAACTTTTAATAATTTAGGGACTCAATAAAACATCATCTCATAGTTAAGAGATCAATTTATAAATTTTAATAGTCGAAGGATTCAACAAAACAATGTCTTATAGTTAGGGACCATTTATGTACTTTAACCCTAAAAAACAATAGAGCATAATCAATCATCGGTAGTTTTTTTTATTATTTTCTAATAAATGATCAGTTGATATAGTTAGATAAGACACTATATTCTTTAAGTAAATTAGGAGCTTGAATCTTGTCGATTGTGAATGTAGCAAATTGAATTAGGATGATATCTTATAACATATATTTACAAATTTTAATCTAGATTAGTTAATTAATAAATTAGACACCAATAATTAATTAAAAAATAATAAAATAATGTAGGGGTGTTAGTTTATTTCTTCCAACTTTTTTTTTTTGCATCCTTTTCCTCTTTAGATTTCAAGCACTCTCTACTATTCGGGATGGGCATGGACTGAGTGGTTTTGAACCGGTCGAGTAGGATTTTTTTTAAAAATTTGGATTTGGGTCGGGTCGAGTTTAAGTTTAGGATGAAAAATAGAACTGACTCAAAAAATATATATAATTTTATCTTATTTATTTAGTAATAATTACAATAATACCCTCTATATTTTATTTTTTTTCAATTAAATCACTATTTTTATTGAATAAAAATAATATTTTTATTATTTCGGGTCTGGTCGGGTCGGATTTTTAAGTTATATATCGGGTCAGGTTCGGGTCGGGTGAAATCTTGTTTTGGTCGGGTCGGATCGGATCTCGGGTGGAGGATTCCTTATTCTCGGGTCAGATCGGGTGGATCAAAAAGCCGACCTAACCCGACCCTTGCCCATCCCTATCTACGACCCTTAGTATATCACTTAGGCATGATTTTAGGATATACATGTATATATTAATAATATAAAATTTTTAAGTGTAGTGCACACAAATAAAATTTCATAATAAGAATCATTAATAAAATAAATAATTAATTGAAGAAACTTCATATTTCAAGGTGGATACATACTCATCCTCAAATACATATGAATCCATCACTGCACATATACATTTACATTTACTTGAGGCATGATGGTGATGAAATCTCTGAAGTGCAAAATTTCAAACAAAATATAGACAACATAAAGAATTTCTAGAAATTGGGTAGTTCTGTGATACAACTTAAAATTATGCGGCTAAAAACCACAGTAACAAACACAATTGAAAATGTTATAAAAAATTCTAACATTTTAAGTTGTACGCAATATAAACTTTACATTTTTCATAACATTTTTTTATTACAACCTAAAATTTTGCATTCTTCATCAATTTTTCAGTTGACATCTAAAAAATAATATTTTTTTATAATATTTTAAATTACGTCCAACTTAAAATATTAGATTTTTTATAATATTTTCAATCCCCTGCTACAGTTGCTTTTTAGCTACATCCTAACCTACCTTTTTTTATACATTCGCCTAGAAACTGTAGCCTATAGCAACTACTCATTAGAGACATGGATAACAATGAAATTACAAGAACAAAGGTCTCATATTACTCTATGTATGTTTAGGTTCAAGGTTATGTAATTATTTTTTATTAAATAAGAATGTAAGATTAAAAAAAATATACCTCATAATATATATGTTTTTATAAAACCAAAATACATCTATAAATAAATAAGATTTCTATAAATATACATGTTTATATCATCGTAAATTTTATGAAAACTTTGAAACTTTCATATTGTGTCTTTGGAAAGGAATTTGTAATCGAAATTATTAATAACAATTAATCGTTAGTAAAATTTCTTGAAATTTTTTACGAAATTTCAACGTGCATATAATTTTTTTGTCTTATATAATTAAAATCGAGACTCTATGAAGTTGAACTCTTTCAGTTGATATAATTGTATTAAAATTTACGTAAGATAAATTATTATGATTTTAAAATTTATATAATGTTAAGAGATTAGTTTATAAAATTTTAAAGATATATGTATTCTTATGAAATTTTAGAAGAGTGACCAAACAGATAAAAAACACACGCAAACAAATATTTAAAATGATTGAGAAAGTTGTGCGACACTATCTGTTTGTCCACTTATTTGCTGTACTTCTTCTTCCTCACCGCTCCCATAACATATCCCCATTTAGCTTCACCAACAATGTTATTCTAACGCCATTGATGATTGACATTAACATGTTGGTGTCATTCAATCTTCCATGCATAAAGAAGCAAACAGAACTCAGCTGAAATAACGGTGTTTCCACACGGAGACGACGATGACAAAACAGGCTTGAATATAAACAATGCACGCCTTAACCCAGGACTGAAAAGCCAGTCATGAACATCCCAGTAGACTTCAACTCTCGTCTTGTTCACTTGAAAAGTTTCGTTTCCTCTGAACTTCCATTGAAGATGCTTCACGTGAAGCACCAATTGGTTATCGATTCTCATCTCCATTTCGGGCTCAACCTTGTTCTTACACTCGATCGAGATCTCATGGAACATACTCTTCTCATCATCAAGTTTGATCCTCGAGCTGAATCTTTTTCTCCCAAATACATGTTCTTTTCTTGAAACTAAGATGGGGTCTATAAGTGCAGGCCTGCAACCAGTTTTCCGATAAGCCTCTTTCTTTAGATCTCCGACGAGTAAAACGACTTCTTCATCGCAGACGACAGCAACGTAGTACTCCGAACTGGGTTCGGTTTCTCCATTGAATTTGGCTGTTTTGAGGTCCCAGAAGACATTTACAGCTTTATCACCATCGATGATGAAGTGTCTGGAGCCTTGTTTCTTCCAAAAATACCATGGTTTGAGCTCCATTTTGCAGGTGTATTGATTCTCTCCTTCGGGGCCTGAGACTGATACCGAGAGACCATTAAGCAGGAGATTCTTGCACCAAGTGACGGTGATCAAACGGCACTGGTCGGCTATCTTTGTCCGGAAAACAGACATGAAAACACTCTGGCCGGACCTGGTTACTGCAGTTTGATCACAAGCGACAAGCTCTTCTTGCATGGTTGCTTACAAGAACAAGTTACGGTAGAAACTGATAGAAAGGGAGAGACTTTGGGGGCATTAATGATGGATGGATGAATGAGTGAAGAAGAAAGCTTTTTTTATATTGTTTTTCTCAGCTTTTTTTTTTCTTACTTTGGATCTTCCAGTTCTATGCATGGTGAAAAGTGAAGAGACCCAAAATTTTCACCAGATTTGGAGTTTAGATTTCTTCGCTAGATCGAGTTTTCGAGGTCATTCATCGTATAAACCCACATTCAAACTCAATCTACGAGATATTATCCATTTTAATTCAAAATATATATAGTGAATACGAGTTATAATTTTTTTTTTTTTTTATGTTCAAATTGTATAAAAAAATAAGAGTATTCATCTATATTTGTAGCTTCGTTTTGGTCACTAAATTATCTTTTTCTTTCAAAATCATACTTAACGATACGTTTTGATCATCCGCAGTTAAAACGACAAAAAAACCCATTAAGTATAATTCTAAGAAAAATAATTAAGTGACAAACGAAATCGTAGAAATAGAAGAGTAATTAAATACTTAGTTCCCCAAAACATAAAAGGTTAAACCAAAATAAAAAATAGAATTGGAGTTACTTGAGGTGTACTCTAGACATCGTCTTTCTAATGTAATTAACATCATTGTATCCTTCTAGTACAATGAGAAATCCACTAAACAAAATATCAAAACTTACCTTTCAAGTATCTTATTTACATTACTAAAAACTCAACGTTTATGTTTTGGATTGTATGTTTATTTATTTCACCTATAATCAACATAGATTATATCAAATATGGTAAAATTCGAGTGCATTAGACTTTTATTTAATCACATACATTAATTTTGTTTTATTTAACTTGTTTGTTTGTTTAAAGAATATGTCCACAAATATATAAATAAATATTTTCGTGAACATTAGACAAATCAAGCCTGAACACATCAAATAATAAACAAACCAAATTTTAAAAGTTTAAATTAACACGAACCGAACATAAACAATTTGAAAAATAAAACAAACACAAACATAACTTCTACGTAGATAAAAATTATTATTGATTAAACCGAGATAATGTTTGAAATTGAATTTGTCTGAGACGTGCACTAGACATTGTCCTTAAAGTTAGTAGGATCATCCCTTGTATAAGGTTAAGGTTATGTTTGTAGATAAGTTAGATGTTCAAGTACGAAGATAACTCACTAAGCACCTTCAAGTTCCATGTAGGAGCCTGGTATGTCAGATGCGCATTTAGCAGCTTGTATAATCTGGAATCTTCATCTTACATGTAGCCAAAACCTTTTCGCAGGTTTCCATGGATACTTCTTTCAGAAGGTACGATATGGCTAATTTGTGCTTCTTCTTCAGCTCATCGACCTCCATTTGCTGCTTTAACAGCAGAGACTCGAGTCTCTTTGCTATTACCTTCACCTCTGGTTCAGCATCCTTTAACGGATCACAGTTCTCTTTCGACGAATGTGTTCTATCGGAATCACCATCTTTTCGATGACCACCACCATCATCCCTGCCACTGTGATGTGTGAACTCATTATCAGGTCGTCGAAATGAAGTATTACTGTTTATTTTACCTCCACTTTCATAGCTATCACGAGATTGATCATCAAGTTCAACCATGTTATCTGCAGACCTTACGAAATCCACTCGAAAAGCAATGTTTGAACCGGTTTTGGCCAGAGAGTTTCCGTGAGCTGCCTTGGGTGGGTCAGACCAGAATCTTCTACGTGAAGGAAATCTCTCCAATGAAAGACGGCCCGGAGATGAGGCCAGTACATAAGCCAATGGTGATCCATCAACCTTATCAGAATTTGCAATTTCTACCAAACTACCACTAGGAGTTCCTTTTGGAACCCAATCAGGAATATGAGACTGGATTTCCGATTCAATCATTTCGGAAATTGTTGAAACGTCTTGATCTGTCAAGCCCAACTCTTCAACCATTTCTCCAGCAACGGCTATCGCTGTATCTGCTTCAATATCAAAGGGGAACTGGATGGTGCGTATATTACCTAGGACCATGTAGAAACATGTCAAATTTCAATAATAAAAAACGACTTTGGATGCTGATGAATGAAACATTTTATCACGGTGAAAGTAAAAAACGAAGAAAAATAGCCAAAGGTTACATATGAAAGAGAAAGAGAGACCTGTAGAATCCGATATCCTTAGTTATAGAAATATCGTGTTAGCATTATTCCTCTGACCTTGCACTTCGAAATCCTCGCTTGTCTCGAATCGAAGATCCTTGGTATTTCCCCCGAAATTAGTCTGATCAGAAGTACTATCTGCAATTATCATGTAAAACTGTGAGGTGAAAAATACTCGAAGACTTCAAGCTCCAAAAATGCTCCAGAATTATACCTGAAGATTGGACATTAGCTCTTAAAGAATGACCTACACTGTCATTTTCCTCGTCAGGCTGAAGAAATGGGTCCTTCAAAAGTTCCTTTGCAGACAACCGAGCCGAAGCTTTAGCAATACATTTTTCAATAAACAACTTCACTCCAGGGTCAGTCACTTTTGCCAATGATGCTGGCTTTATTCCCTGCTCGAGAAAGGAACAAACCATGGAAATCATGAAGCATTGTTTGCATTATCCGCATTTATTAAATTCACTGAAACAGCTACACTTACCTAAGATTTCAGTCACCAAGCAACTATTATAATCTCAAGACAATGATTCTACCATAGGCAGAATTGATAATCCAATTTGGTTCAAGTCAGTATCCAAAAAAATGAATACAAGTCAATAGGACCTACAGATCTAAGATTTATTTGATTGTTTATTTTTGATTTAATAATTTCCCATAGAGAAGCAGGGTATGTATTTTAGTCAAAGGGTGCCCCGAGTCAAACACGTACCCGTATTAGATACTTACACCTGAGCTTAAGTAACATAGGCCCTGCACATTACAGTGTTAACAAGCAAGGCCATCTCATGGCAAATAAGCACAAGAAAGGTCTAGGTTTTAATTCGTTTGCTTCTAAACAAAGATGAAAATCCATTTGGTGGATGACAAACACGTGTATAACGAAATCAACAGTTTTCAGGAACTTGTTATTGAATTCTGCCTAAACTTTCATAAAAAAGGGATATATAAAAGGGTTTATATTTGATATTCTGTACACTGAAGATGAGTAATATGTTGACACGTCGCAGTTGATAAAACTTAGAAATTTGCAGACCCTTATGAATAAATATTGAAAAATGGGCAAGATCATTAGTGCCTTACTGATGTCACTTTCTTGAATATTTGAGCTGCATTAGCACATTCAATATATGGATACTCGAAAGTTACTAATTCCAGCAAACACATGCCGAAAGCATAAATATCTACAAGCTCATTGTATTCCTCCTCGTAGAGTTCCGGTGCCATAAACTCGGGTGTACCTACATCACAGTAACAATTTCTTTATTTTTTGTATTCTAAATCAGCAATAGTTCCGAATCTTGTAGTATTGACAGTAATTAAGGACATTATGATCCCCACCAATAACACTATGTGCTGAATGGGCCTGGCGAAGAATAGTAGCCAACCCTAGATCTCCGATCTTCACCTCGCCTTGGTTACCATTGACAAAGATGTTATCACATTTCAGATCCCTGTGGATCACCGGGGGATCGTGACTGTGAAGATAGAGGAGACCCTCCAAGATCTGCCTAGACCATTTCTTCAATGCCCTCAAATCGACATGCTTATGCTTCTTTCGATACCTACACAATCAAACATAAACTTGTTGATAAACCCAAAACAGCACACGAAACTTTAAACACATCCGAAAATAGAAAAAGACTTACTGCCGCAATGTTCCTGAAGTGAAAATCTCGGTGATGAAGTTGATATGTTCATTTTTGGTATCAACCCAGGAACTGTAAAATTTAATTACATTCTTATGCTTCAAAGTTTTAAGCAAATGAACTTCCGAATAAAGGTTCTCCAAATCTTCCGAATGTCGCAATAGATCCGTAACCTTAACCTGATTCCATGCTACTTCTATACCTTCAAGTTCATCAAATGCCTTATATCTGAGTTCCCACAACTTAATCAAGGATCCAACAAACATAAATTAGGCCACAAAATAACAAACTATGCATCCATATACCTTAAAGTTCATCAAATCCTCTTTATCTAAGTTCCCACAGCTTGAAATCAAGGATTCAAAAATGGCATAAAGTAACAAATTAAGCCTCAAAATGCATTCATAAACAAACTAATGAACAATGAAAAACAGGGAAATGAAAAGGATACACTTTTTTGAAAGCACCTCTTCCTAAAACCTTCTTGTACTGCAAATAATCAAATTCAGAAGACAAAGTAAAAGAAACCCATTTAAGGTAACATCAATGAAAACCACCCCAAACGCCAATCAACATCAAATATAAATCAAGCCAACTTCATTCTAAAATGGGCAACTTCGTTTAAATGAAACGAAACGAAACAGTGAGAGAAAACTAACCCGACCGTAACGACCTGTAGGATCAACCTCGACGAATTCAGCATCTGAATCATCTTGTTCTAGGTCTGACGTTGTCTCCGGCGGCATTCTAGTCTTTCCCAACGATCACAACAAAGAATTCAAAAGGAGTTCAAAGCTTTTATAAAGAGATTTTCGATTTCTATTTCTGTTAATTCGAAATTAAAGACAAAAAAACCCTAGTCGTGGTTTGAAAGGAAAATGTAAATCGAGAAGGAAAAGGTGATGGGACAGAGATTGGAGCGGGAATTGTTTCGTCAGAGAGCAGCTCTTAATGACCCAGGCCATTAGCAAACCGACTGTGACTTATTTGATCTAGATAATAACAACAACAGTAATAGCAGTTAGATAGATTATATTTTAAATATTTATTTAAAGTACATTTTTTTATTTAAATATATAAAATATTTTTTATCAATATAAGTACTTAAGTTTTCGATTTAGTTAAAATAGATACCTGGAATATTTTATTAATCAAAATAGATACTTAAAGTATCTAATTTTTTTTCTAAATGCTTAAAGTATTCTTTAATTAACGTCGCATGATAATATTTTTAAAATTTAGATGAAAAAAAATATTTTTTAGGTACCTATTTTGACAAAAAAATACTTTAAATATATATTTTAATCAAAAGATAACTTTAGATATTAATTTTGACAAAAAACCTTTAATTATTTAAATGAAAAAAAGATGATATAATTTAAGCATTTATTTAAGATATAAGTCTACCAAAACTTCCTTAAAGTTTTAATAAATAGTATTTTTTTGAACATTTTAATCCTTAATATTTTATTTTGAGTCAAAATCATCATTTATAGGTAAAAACCCATAACCGGTTAACGTTCTACGTCTTCGGATGACGAGATAAAATAACGAGGGATAAATTGCCGATGTAAGTTGTTTACCCTCATTATCATTTATCGTGCATAAGTTACTGATTTTTTCTTCGATTTCATCGTTCTAAGTACATGCAATCAAATCACATTATCTTTTTATTATTTGAATTAATATTTCATTTTTAAAAATTTATAATATATAGTGACCAAAATTAACCAATTAGAATATAATAATTAAATCCATAAGTTATGCATAAATATAGGGACTACAGATAGAGTTTGACCAATAAAAAATCACCTTAAATCAATAAATACAACTGAAGTGAAATACAACATATTCAGATAGATAATGTAGGCATAAGGCACATGGGGATAACATGTTATGTCTTCTTCCAAACAGATTCACATGTTACCAAGACGCATGCATGGTCTATATAGAACAGCTTTTTAACTAAACAAGCAAGAACTCACATTAGTGCTTATTTTATTGATTAATTTTTCGTTATACGGTCTTCATTTTTCTCGAAATATCCGTGTTCGAAACCTGTGTCCGTAGGACGAAGGTAGAAGGAACCCTCTAAAGACCATTTCTGCCAAAATGAAACCCTGCTTGATTTCTTATTTAAAGATCATCTGAGAGCATTCATCTTGTTCCCAAAATAGTAAAGCTTATCTCTTCTCACTTTCTTCTTGTCCAGCACCTTTATCTCCTTTATATTTGGGGAATACCTGTCATCCATCATCGTCCGATCTTATTTAAGTGATATGTTAAAGATAAGTAACACAGATAAGAAGAACTAGCGGGAAATAGAGACACTCATGCTGAAAACAACTACGAGAATAAAACTTGAGCAAATTGGATGTGAGCAAGAACTACAAGAAACCTTCATTATTAACACTTCCCGATATGTCTTTAATAGCGGAGATGCTCTTGGAAACACAAAGAAGCAAATGCTTTTACAGCGAGTTTATCAACCCAAAGAAATGCTAAATCTTGGGGACACAAAGGTTTCAGAGCAGACCTAATCCGCACGATGCATATTCTAGTAATAATTTATATTACATCTGTAGCCATATTTCTTAATGCTATGTATTTTACTAATATAGTCGACCTCAATATTATAACAAAACCAGTGACAAAACTTCTTGGCATTTTACCTACTGGTGACATGCTTTTTTCCTGGTTGATATATCGAATCTTAAACAATATGCTTTTTGAGGGAAGAGCATAAAGGTAAATGTTACTTACAATGGGAAGAGAGATTCAACCCCAACTCCTGCTACCATTCTCCGTATTCGGAATGTAGTATTCAGGCCAGCATTACGTCTAGCAATAACAATGCCTTTTATTGTCGAAAGGCGCTGCATGTTTTCAGGCACTTCCTGCTCTAGCCAACAGCACGTTGGTTACCTTAATTCACTCGAAAAATATGTTAACAATCACATGTAGTGATAACACCTCAAATGTCAAAACATGTCATACCGCTTTGAGTTGCACAATGTATCCAGATTTTATCTCAGGTATCTATCTCCCTTTGCTCCTTCACTTTTTCCATTGCTTCCTTATCCAGAATCTGCAAGCACGTAATCCACACAATTCGAAACCGGGATATGGTGACCAACAGGTATGAGATTCGAATAAAAATGGAGAACACGTAACAACAACATTACAAAAGCAAAAAAAGAGCTTTCCTGCATTATGTGCCTAGCAGTTTTGTCAAGTCTCTTAAATTTAATTCGAGTCGCCATATCGGTGACAGATTCGGAAGAATCCATAGTAGGCAATGCAGCTGTCGTCATATATCTGCTAGAAGATGAACACATCATTGCGGACACCTGAGACAGAACTGGAACCGAGCTTCCGCCATAACTGCCGGGAAACACCAATTCTTTTGTTTGGGATCCAAATCTTGTCTGCTAAAACAATTTGCAAGCTTTAAAACACAAGCTTACCTCAAAAATTAGACTTGTTTAAAATTAAACATGAGAAGCAACGTGAGTTAGAGCATGTTAACCTAGTAACAATTTAACATTCAAATTATGCTTTAAAAAAGATTAGGAAAAATGGACATTCTGAAGCAGGAGATTCACTTAAGCAAAAAAACCCAGAAATATTAAAGCAAAGAAGAAGAAAAAAACCCATACTCGTAGAAACTGCATGATATGGTTCTGGGAAGATTTGATTGAATTGTTGGTTCCATGGACTACGTTGCTGCTACTCTGAGAAGGCAGATAATTAAGCTCTTGTTGATGATTTGAAATAAGCATTGTTTCATATGGAAAGACCTTGTCTTTGACCAAAACGAATACTCCCACCGATAAATGACTGCATCATAGATCCTCAACCACGTTTGGTTGCTCAAAAAACGCGAGAAAGTGATGGAAAATAAGAAAAACGAACTCAAAACCCTCCAAGAGCGAACAGGGGTTTAATGATCGTGTTACGACAAATATACCCCTAGTTTGGGTTTTGGGATTTGCTGGATTGGACCTGTTGTTTATCCAAGTATTTTTTTCTATAATACCATGCTCAGCCCAGCCCATCATATACCTAATTGATTCCAATCCGATATATTCATTTAAAAAAAAAATCAAATATCGGACAAATTCATTGAATAACATCAACAATAAAAAAATATTACTCTTTTTAAAGAATTTGATTGATGAGTATAACAATTATCCTCCCATGTACCAATGCTAAGTCTGTTTGTGTCTATTGCCCTGGTGCAACTTTCTAAAAACGTCAACTAGAGATAATGAGTTCATCTAAATCATCAGTAGATGATGATAAATTTACCGGTCAATGAAAAAAATACCCCAAACTCGGCAAAAACACCCTATATCATGTTAGGCTTAGTGTACCAACTGCATGCGATATGGGAAAGACGCCAAATGATTCAAACGTCTTTCTCCGTCTACTATTCATTTTACCCTAATTAAGAAAATAATTTTCCGACACCCATATCAACTATTTTTTTCTCTACATTATCCGATCAAATTTGGCACCCAAACTCCTAAATAACTTGTGAATAATACCATTTTCCTAAAATGAAATTTCCAACAACACTATTTCACTAATTTTGCCACCTATATATAATACTTTTGTCTAGTCATTGCAGACACTGAATGAATGCATGCATGGTAGAATGGTCCCCCCACAAATGCATATAAACCCTATAGCCTCCATTAACTCTAACAACGTGGTTTGGCATATTTTTAACATTTTCATTTAATTAAACTGCATTTAGTATTACAGTTTGATTAGCCACAAAAGCAGATGGTGGTGCAGCAAGTAGACCAAAAAGAAACCTGGCCTAAGCTAAACTAGTAGCAGCATGCATGGGGGCAATGCGAGAACCAAAGGGCCATTTAAAGTCTTTTAGCCTTTCTAGGCTTCTCCTTGGCTTCCTTTTTTGTGTTTTTAACTTAAAAAGCTGCCATTATTGTTGTCATTCTGGTTTACTTTATTCGGTTCCATTAAACTGTGTTCAATGCACCCTTTGGCGCCTGCAAACTCTTCCTTAAACTTTGTTGTCTTTGCCCTTCCTTTTTGCAACAAGTTTGTGCTTTCATTGAACCCCTAATTACTTCATGAAACCAAAAACCTGACAACAATCCGTTAGCATTACTGTAATTCTCTTCTCATATTGTTAAGGTGATCACTTATAACCTGTTTGTGTAATTGCTTGCTCTTTGGGTTTTTTTCCTTACATAGGAAGTTTAGGCCATGGGGAATCTCATTGTAATCAACAAGGGTCTTCTTCTTCTGTTTTTGCTTGTTGGGTTGTTTGTCTTTTGTGAATGTGAAGATGATGACCAAGTTTCATCTGTGTCTCCAATGGTGAAGGAAGAACAAGAGGCATTATATGCTGCTATTCAGGGATTTGTGGGGAACTTTTGGAATGGCTCGGATCTTTACCCTGACCCTTGCGGATGGACACCTGTTCAGGTTTAAAATACATCACTTTCTTCTTCTTCTTCTTCTTCTTCATGTTTCTGCTTATGATTTATATCCGGACTACAAACGAATGTTAAACGAATACCTGTCAAATACCAATATGTCGTATATTTGAAGAATCACACACACACACATACATACATACATATATGTATGTATGTGTGTGTGTTGAATACATATTTGGAGAATCATATTTGTATTATAGTTTGTCTTGGAAACCAAGTATTGCATGCAAGCAAATCAGTAGGAAACTGCATGCAACCAATAATGCTAGAGGCATTACAAGGTTGATTTTTTTGCAGCTATTGTCACTGTTAAAGCTGAGTTTTTATTTTTTTTGGTTGGGTATGTATGAATTTCAATCATATTTTTTATGTAAAAATTGACTCCTTTTTACTCAAATTCTTGCAAATGCAGGGAGTTTACTGTGATCTTGTTGATGGGTTTTGGCATATCACAGTTCTAAACATTGGTCTCGTTTTCGACAACTCTCTGCAATGTAGCCCAGATGCAAAGTTCACCCACCACTTGTTTGAGCTTACTCACCTAAGATCTCTCTCATTCTTCAATTGCTTCTTCTCACCTAGAGATAATCCCATTAGAATCCCTTCCTCAAACTGGGAAACACTCTCAAACACCTTAGAATCCTTGGAGTTTAGATCCAATGGTGGTCTCATTGGTGACATTCCAACCCATATTGGCTGCCTTAAAAAGCTCCAATCATTGGTGTTACTAGACAATGGATTAACTGGAGAATTGCCTATAGAATTGGGGAACTTGGTGAATTTGAGGCAACTTGTACTTGCTGGAAACAAGTTTACTGGCCATGTTCCACCAAGTCTGGCAGGGTTAACTGAGCTGCTGATATTGGATTTAAGTAGAAACAATCTATCAGGGCCATTGGTGTTGAGTTTTGGGAGTAATTTCACTACACTGCTGAAGCTGGACTTGAGCAACAATGGTCTTGAGGGGAAGATACCTGAAGGAATTGGAAGGTTAAAGAATGTCACTCTTTTCGATCTTGGTAGAAACAAGTTCTCAGGTGGGTTGATTGAGTCATTTCAAGAACTGGTTTCTTTGAAAGAGATGGTGATATCAAACAATCCTTTAGGGGGTGATCTCAAGGGAGTTCAATGGGAAAACTTGCATGATTTGGAGATCTTGGATCTTTCAAATCTGGAGTTGACAGGGATGATACCAGAGTCCATGGCAGGAATGAAAAGGTTGAGATATTTGGGATTGAATGACAACAATCTGTCCGGAAATCTTTCTCCAAAGCTTGCAAGTCTTCCATGTCTGGGTGCTTTTTACATTAATGGAAACAACCTGACAGGGAAGCTTGAGTTCTCAGAAGTGTTTTACAAGAAAATGGGGAGAAGATTCAGAGCCTGGAATAATTCAAACCTTTGCTATCAGCCTCAAGTGATCTCATCATCATCATCACCACCAACCCATTTTCCTAATGGGGTTAAAGCCTGCTAACAAGAAAATCATAGCAGAAATACGTCCACTCTATCATGAATTTTAGTACTATTAAAATAGTCATGTATTTTTTTTCTTTGTTATGCTAGTTCTTTTATATATGTCTTGGAAATATATTCGTATTTAACACTCGTATTCGAGTTGAAGTAACATAGAATAAATAAATAATTTATAAATATATTCGGCAGAAAGCACACAGAATCTATTTGAATATATAAATCATTAAGCAAGAATAACACAATTTACATAGAATTTAGGTAATCATTGATTCATTTCAAAGTCAATAATTTGTATTCATGTGAAAACCTAATATAGTTATCCTAAACACTTCTCCCCAAATGGTACAGAAGATCACTTCTTTTGCACCTTACCCACGGGCAGTTCGACCAACCCTATGAACATACTAAAAACAACATCTCACTTGTTCTCTTTAGGACTCAAATTTAAGTTGATGTGTCTGTAAGGTATGTGCGCGTTGTCAATAATTAAATAAATTATGAACAATACTACTTTGTAATCACCTCAAACTAATAAAATCACATCTCAAATAACCCAGCATCAAGGATTTAAATAACATCGTACTATCGGAATAACGACCGTTATATAGTGATTTTAGTGTCATCCGAAATTGTTATTGTACGATCTTGATACCAGTGGCAGATCCATAAATATTTTTCAGGATGGTTACATATATATTAATAATATAAATTTTTTGTATAGAATAGCCACAAATAAAATTTTAGGATTGACACAAATAATAAAAAGAACAACAAAATAAATAAATTCAAATTTCTGGGTAGACACATTATTTAAAACAAATGTATTTGTGGGAATTTGAATTAGGATCCTCATGGATGATAACAATTCCTTAATCATTGAACCAAACACCTCATTTGGTTTCTTGTATACACCAATGTTTATCTAATTCATAACATTATTAATGATAGAGACACTACAACAAAACAGGCTTTTTGCGACGTTTTTTTTAACCTTTAGCGGCGTTTATAAGCGCCGCTAAAAACACATGCGGCGTTAAGACAAATGCCGCAAAAACCGTCGCTGAAAATAGAGCCGCTAAAGTTCGCGGCGTTTTTTCACAAAAAAAGCCGCAATAGGTATTGATATTTAGCGGCGTTTATGTGACAAACGCCGCAATATGTGTTGATATTTAGCGGCGTTTTTCATAAAAACGCCGCAATAGGTATTTGATATTTAGCGGTGTTTGTGTGACAAACGCCGCAATAGGTGTTGATATTTAGCAGTGTTTTTCAGACAAACGCTGCAATAGGTGTTGATATTTAGCGACGTTTGTCATAAAAACGTCGCAATAGGTGTTAATATTTAGCAGCGTTTTTCAGACAAACGCCGCAATAAGTTATGATGTTTAGCGGCGTTTTTCGCTAAAACGCCGCAGTAGGTGTTGATGTCTTGCGATATTTTTTTCACAAACGCCGCAGTAGGTATTGATGTTTTGCGGTGTTTCTGCTAAAAACGCCGGTACAGGTCTTTATATAGCGGCATTTGTAGGATAAAAACGCCGCTAAATTTATGGTATATTGCGGCGTTTTTTTACAAACGCCGCTAAATAACACAAAATTTAACAATCCTAAAAATTATGCTTGATTACCCCAAAACTGTTTTTTCAACCTGTTCCATTATCCAACAAACAAAAAAATAATAATATCAAACTCTATATCCATAACAAACAACATCAAATCCAATATAATAAATAAAAGTTTTCATTAACGTAATATAAGTTCAGTTACAGAAGGTTCAGTAGAATGCTCATAACATAAATGAGACTACAATGATGGATTCTGAGGTTGCGTTTTCTGAATCATCAACATCATATCATTGAGTCGTTTTTCAAATTCTTCACATCTCTTCTGATATGCTGCTTCTCTCTGTGCTGCCGCTGCTTCTCTCTATGCTGCCGCTGCTTCTTTCTCTGCTTCCGCTGCTGCTCTGGCTGATGCTCTCTCTGCTTCCCTTTCTTCATTAAGAAAGAAGATTAATTGGTGATTAATTTTATTTGATAAGTAAATATTTATTAAGAAGTCTTGTGGAACTTGGTACAGATTACTTTGCAATCAATAGTTGCTAACAGAGAGAAGAGGTGAAAAAGAAAATCTAAACATGAACCTGATTCATCAGGACCAGAACATGTAGTTTTAGTGATGAAAAGTTTAGGGTTAGTATCCATTAAACAAGACTAATTTGTTTATTATACTAATATCCTTAACCACGATAGTGATGGTACAATAGTTCTGAAGAGTCATTCTATCCAAAAGGATCAGCGCAAGATAGCCAAGAGAATAACTAATACTGGATCTTTTGCATAATCCTTATTTATAAATTATAGTGTCCAAAAGAATCCGAGACAGTCCCAAAACCGGACTGTAAAATTTAAATCATTTAAGTTCCAAGCAGTAAAACATGGAAGAATAATTTAAGGTTTACATTTTTTTACATGATAAGATTTTAGGAAGCATCAGATGTTCTTCCACCAAAAATGCTAAAATATCCAGTATGCACATGAACAATCAAAACTGATAGTAAAAAGAAAAACAAAATACGAGAAAAACACATGAACAGTATGCACATAATTAAAAAAGAGAGAAAATAACTGCTTCCTCACCTCAACACGGTATCTGTTTAAAAGGGTTAATATCCAGTTCAATGCTTCAATTCTAGTGGCCTCCCACTGACTATCTAGTTGCCTGATCAGTCAAAACAGATGGTAATTACTAAAAAATAATTGCAAAGTGAAAAGAATTAGAAACTCATTTAAAACACTTTTCTATAGCTCTTCATAATTCAGTAGAGCTAAATATTCCTAAAGTGCAGACAACCAGTAACATTTTAAACATAGCATTTTCCCTAGGTAACAAAGACTACACCTCCTCACAATGGGAGAATGACACCCACATCAAAGTTTTCTATCGGATTAGCCTCAATTGCACGAAGCGATTCTTTGGTTTCACGAGCAACCTAATATAAGAATATGAAAACAAACATACAAAATGACACAGAAAACTCCAGCCGAGTTTATAAAAGGAATTGCAGCTGGTTATTCAAGATGCATTAAGGAGACTATAGAAGAAATAAGCTAACCACACTATTTTTCTGTTCTTTATCAGATATACAGGGGAGAATGGCTCCCAGGATGTCAGCATATAACCCTGTCAGTTTAGTTAATACTCATTTTCTTGTTAGCTAATTTTATGTTGATAAAAAACTAACCATATGTTAGTATGTTATACAAGTCGTACATTGAGCTATCATGCAAGAAGAAATTGCCATCTTACCTTCGCATGGGATGCATAGTGTGTGACAGATGAGCAAAGAGTTGATGTAGATATTACAACTAGTTGTATCAATAATAGTAAACGCTCAATTATAACCAGGTGCCTATTATTTCCATTTGCAGATGTATTAGCAGATGTAACTAAGGCCGGTTTGTTTTGGAAAATTTAGATTAAGTAATATCAAAATGGAGATCATATTTCAATATAGGTAAGAATGAGAGTAATGGTAGAGTACTGGAGTTAGTAGAAAATCACGAAATTCCTTAAACCGATCGTTTTTAGTAACTTGCTTGATGGGTAAATAACAAAATATACAATTTTAAGATGGTAGGTGGCAATGATTGAAAATAATTTGAGCAAAAGGTGCTTAGAAGTTTCAATCTGTACAGTGTATAGAGATATGGATGATTTGGCACATAAAAGTTATTTGATTCAACTAGGTAGAATGAGAAGAGATAGAGTAGAGGCATAATGACGATTATATTGATTGAACCACAAAGAAGGATTTGAATTGTTTATGTCATTAAAAAATTTAGCCCTTAAAAGTGCAATGATGGATTTATTGAATAATATATCCTATGCCGACTAGGAAGTAGTATTACCTCAAAGCCTATCCAAGCAATAGAAAGCAACACAGACATGGCAAGTGCATTAGTAAACTTTCGGTATAACTCCAATTTTGCCAAGTTTCTCCGCATCTACACCCAAGAAACAGTAGAACAAATGGAAATAAATAGATGTTTTAAAAGTTGTTGCAGTTTAGATAAATAATATAGCTGGTATGAATAACTTGAAATTTCAAAAGAAAATCAACTCATTTATACAGAGCCTATTACAGCCAGGAAATTTCTTGTAACTGAACACCCTACAAATACAGCAGTAAGGCACAGTGAATTTGATTTCCAATAGAGCTTCACGCCATGTTGGCAGATACATAGATTTCATATTAATGTCTATCTGTTTATCTATCTATCATTGTGCATCTATATAATAAGTAATAATAGTTGCAAGTAAAAAGAATCATACCTGAAGTTTCTCCAAAGTTTTTGACAGTGATGAGAAAATCCATAGAATAAAACAAGCATCCAAAAAGGCAACAGGAAGCACCAAAAATAACTTTGCTTTTCCAGAAAAATCATTAATGTTCCCCAAATGTTCTACTAGCTCGAGTGCCTCCGTCGCAATGAAGTATATCAGACCAAGCAGAACTACTTTGGATGTTAAGCCACCAAGCGTTGGCCTCACTACACCAAAACCCATGGAAACCACCAGGCAAAATTTTTGATCCGAGTCTCAAGGAAGAAAGCTTAACAAGGGAAGTAGGCCATAAAATCAGCAATGAAGTTAGCTTCTCGCGGAACCAAAACAAAATCTAGAGACCATGGTTTATCAATCAAGGAAGCGACAGAACGAGCTAAAGGGCTTTCACACAATGGAGGCGATGATAGCAAAGCACGGACATCTGTATTTTCTGTTTGCACCGTAACACGTTCAAATCTGTATTCCCACGCTAGTTTCAGTCCTTTATAAATTTCTGAAAATTCTGTATAAAGAACCAACTTCTTTAATATAAGACAATATAAAAACTACTTGAATTTTCAAAAATACCATTACTACGACAAACTCCATCCTTCCTTGTATATACGTCATTCAAATTTCGTATATGTTTAAGATTTATAACAACTTGTTCTAATAATGAAAATTTTAATATTCAAAATTATTGTTTTTCTAAATATAATATATTTTAGGATTATACCTACCACTTTTGACAAATTTTACATGTCTTATTATATATATGGAAGGATGGAGAAAAATGAAATAAATAATTCGAAGGATCAATTATTGAGGTGTACATCAATAACATTAATGTTACACCTACTTATAGAAATCATGTGCCACGTATATTAATTTTTCTTTTGTTTATTGCCCATGACAAATGAAAACGAAATATATGCCAATATCTAAATGTGTTAATTATATATATATATATATATATGGAATTAATTATTGAACTATTTTTCTACTTTAAAATTAAATTTCAAATTTATAAAATAAAATTATTTCATATTTTATATATTTGTGTTGGTTGTTTTTTTTTAAATAGAATAAACTACATCATAAGTCCTCCATAGTTTTCCTTTATTTTCATTTGGTCTATATTTAATTTTGATTTAACGATATTTATGTCCCTCAAACTTTATTTAAAAAAAATCCATTTGCACCTTCCACTAACGAACATTTTAAAATAAAATTGACTGCTACGGTACTGGCGTTGTGATTAACCTCGTTAATTATTTGATCTCCATCAAGGGCAACACCACCGTTTGACAATCATTCACCATAGCCTCTGCAAACGAGCCCGCATGTCTTGAAACCAATCGCATACCTTAGATGGCGTTCTACAAATGAAATACCACTTCCATGCTCCATGGTTGATACAGCAGCTAAACCTCGAGCTTCATGCGAACTTAGCTTAATACTCGAAGAAGGGAAGCCTTCGGGAGGTTCAAGGAGATCGGACGCTGTCAAGGCTTTCTCAAGAATCTTTCTTGCTGGACTAAGGAGAGAGCCAATGGTTCCAGAGCTAATGATGCAATAAAGTATAGATTTAATGCCTAAACCACAAGTTAAGTACATTATCAAAATACCTAAAGTAGAAATCTTCATCAATCTCGTATTCAATAAAATACCTAATGTACAATAGTTTAAGAGTTGAGTAAACATTCATATAGAATACATATTCATAACCGACACTCACAGAATCCTCTATGGATACAGACATTTCAAGTCAGATAGTCAGCTAGGGCAGTGTCTTACTTCAGTAAGATTTGTCAACTAAAATACCATATGAATGAAACAATTACATATCAATTTTTTGACACAAGATGGAAATGAACAAACTCGCACTAACTAAATAATTATAGACAGCATCCATAGATTAAAAAAGGTACAAATATCCACAGAGACCAGTACACTAACCAATAGCTTTTCCTTTTTGTACATAATTTTTTAGATTAAAACTTAGAAGCGCTAATAGAAGAGTCAAGGATGCTTGCCTACGGTACAAGAAGTCCTAATGAGTTAGCTCTCTACACTTGGGTCGGGATCTGGTTGCTTTGGGGCAACGGCACCACCGTTCATTCTCGCACGTGCCTCCGCAAACATTCTTTGCTGCTCAGCTGCTGCTTCTTCCTCGGTCATCTCGGCTCCGTTGCTCCATTTCCCACCTTTCAAAGAGTCTTGCTGAAATGCATTTCAAGACTACCTTCAGTGAATATGTTGGGATGTGCTTCCCTTATGGAATCAAATTCAGGAAAAACAAATGCAGTATTGTGTTGTATTGTATTATGTTTGAAGGAAAATAGCTCTTGCAGAAAAGAGTAGCAAGAGATTGCCAGCTTCTTGATCGGGAATTGGGAAAAATGATATGCCAATCTTAACATGATTTTGTGGGGTAGAAAGGTCAGCGGTGACAAAAAGGAAGACGGAGATAAAACAAGATTGCTGGCAATCTCGATTTTAAGAAACTATTATTCTACTTCCAAAAGGTTTAAATTGAGGGATGCTAAATGCTAATCAGCAAGAGGACAAAATACATACCATTGTCTCAATCTTGTGTTGCTCATATGCAGCATATACCTCTTCAATGTACTCTCCAAATCCAAGAACCTGGCAAATCACATGCATACAGGAGTTTTAAGAACAAGTATATTTATATGTAGGCTAAAACATGGTATGATCAAGAACGTATGCAAGTAGAGTGCACAATGGTAAACAGATCACTGTTAGCAAATGAAATTGCCCCTACTACTTCACAAGTGTTGAGGAAAATGAAATATGTAGACTATATTTAAAAAAGAGGGGCGGTAAAGCCATATCTTGATAAGAAAACAACAATTTCCTTTTCAGGGACTACTTGATAAATGGAATTGATAAAGATGGTGCAAGATTTCTTATTAAAAAAATTATAAAATTCCATCAATATTTACCAAGGATTGGAAGCAGACAAAGTGCCTCCAAGATAAAGACGCTGCTGAACCATAACAGCATATGCAAAAGACCTATTGAAGGCATTGCTTTCTCAACCTTAATAAAGCAATGTACAAAAATAGCACACATAAAGGACTAAATTGAAATGCAAAAGTAGGTTGAGGGGAAAGTAACCTCTAAAGCCTTGAGTACATGCTCGGGTGCTATTGTTCGTCTATCCTCTCTGTTACAAACTTCATTGGACTCTGATGAAATAAGATTAATAAACTCTGCAAGAGGATTGCAATTTTCATTAGTTACAAGAAAGAAGTAATACAATACCATCATTATATTATGGTTAGAGACTAAAATTCCGCTGATGTAAAAAATGACAAATGAATATAAGATGGTGATATACTTGCCAAACAACATTCTAACAAGAAAAGTTTTCAACCAAAATCTTCAATAACATGAAAAAATGTTATCAAATTGACCAAAACAAATTCATACCACGATAGAAGGTAAACTTTTGGTTTAAAAGTCACATGTTTGGGGCAAATAAATCAATAATAATATGCAAGTCAACACAAAAAGAATAATGGTCAACTGATCACTATCAGAAAAGTCAACACTCAGCAGTGGAGAAACATTTGAAAAAATAATTGATTTCGTAACAATTAAAAGAAGACATAGAGGCCACAGATACCATAAACTGGTACTGATTAAAAAGAGACGAAAAATTATACTTATCATCTTACCTACACAACACTCAATCAAAAGATCTTGAGCATCTCTTGCAACACGTACATCTGGTGGTAACATTTCCTTTATAATTTTGGTCATAGTTGCTGCAAAAAGCAAAGATTTATAAATAATTTGTACCATAAAGCAAAGAAACAAATCTAAACTAAACAACAGGGCCTAGGGAAAGCCATGGGCGGACAAGTTATGGGATTAGTATAATTTGCAAGCACACAAGGGAAATTTACCCGATTCTCTTTTTATAACATTGAACAACAAAAGAAAAACAAAATCCCAAATCATTGCACCAAAAGCGAACCATGTAAACTGTTTCAAACATTACAGCCTTGTTATTAGCTCATAGACTCCATTTCACTATGCAACACAAGTTCACCAGAGGAAAAAAAATCTACCAGTCTCAGTTTAATTGTCCACATACTCAGACTGTTTCCCAAAGCCCTGACTAGTAGTGAAATCAATTCATTTCTAAATATACTCAACTGTTGATCCTCAAAATCATCACATTCCCCAACCAGCATAATATTCCCCTACACAAGCTCTAGACAAGAACCTCTTTAGGACTGTAGATAGAACAACCAACCAATGCCGTTTTAAGAAAAACTGGAAAGCCAGTTGATGCCTTTGACAGACAAAACATTCAGATAGACAACTCCTCCCATGAATCTAAAAGTTCTCACAGTAAAAAGCTAGCATAAAAAAGACTTAAGTTCGAAAGCGAAATTATCCTTCACATCATGAATGATGCATCTTTCTTGAATTGTTGAATTTGATTAATACTTTGGATTAAAAACCTAAATATTTTTTAAGGGTAACTCGTTCACTTATTCACTAGTAGCTCAAAGCATCAGTTGACGTAGATAATACAAAACCTGAATTAAGCAACGAAACTGGAAACTGCTATGATTTACCATTCTTAGCTAATTTTGATAGAAACTATAAAAACCCTAGCAAATTCAAGACTTAAAATTCATAAATTTAGCAGACAATAAGAGAATAGCAATAATGAATAGGAAAATTTTAAGGGAAAACAAATGAAATATCATCAAAATTCACCGAATAACTAAATATAAACGAAACGGAAATTAGGACAAGAAAACAGAGTAGAGAAGAAAGTAAATTACCTTTGGGAAGCGAAGCGTCCTCCTTCGACTTCCCTACGATATCCATCGGCTCCATCTTCAAATATTCTAAACAAAAAAAAAAAGTCAAAATCCAACAGAGAATAAACAGATCCAAAATGTGAAAAAGGAGGAAATTCGGGGGAGCAACAGACTCACCGAGTTACTGAGTGAAGACGCGGGGGATTATCTTCGCAGAAGGGAAAACACTAAAACGAGTGAAGCGATTCGTGATCCGAGTCGAGTTGGCGATGAACACGAAGGAAGACATGGTTGATTTATGGAGTTATCAGAGATGCTCATTGGCTCTTCACGATAAGAGAGGTGGCTCTCGATCGCAGCCGATTACGGGAAAAAGTATAACAAACATTCAAGGGAAGCGCGAGGGACTCACGCGCCTTTCTTAAAGCGCATTTGGAATATTCGCGGAATTAGTGGA